AAGGGAAACTTCCATTTAGAAATTAGTTTAATCCATGGAGTTGACTGTGTGTAGAAGGTATTGAGTGTTCCTTGATCTTTCTGGGAAAGAGGTCCCTGCCTACAGAAGCATCTGGAAGAATGCACTAGGCTCTGACTGAGAGTGGATTCTTAGACTCTAAAACCAGTTCATAAATCCATTTGCTTCCAACCCAGCATAGCAGGTGCAACATCCTCAGAAACTGGGACCTTCGTGTGAACATACCAAGGAACTTCAGAAGAAGGCTGTGTGGTAAACACCCCCCATACTGGAGAGTTCAGGGTTCCAATCAAACTGATTGCCTTACTACCAACTCCTTTCTTAGGTGTTACAAACCAGTTAACGAAATTCATAAGAAAGAGTAGAGGCCTTCCTTATGAACATACTAGGATAAAAAAGGAAAGATCAGAGATGAGAGAAGAAGCCTAGAATAAGGAAGCCATTTTTGTTGAACCCAGAAAGTAGAATTATCTCATTGTGTAAATGGCCATTATTCAAACTATAGTACAAATAAAGGTAAAATTACAATACATGTGTATTTTGCTTTTATCACTTATCATTAGTGGGAATATTAATAGCCCTTAATCACTGGAAAGGTCTTGCCATCGGCATACTTTTGTCTACTTAATGGAAACAACATCTAATGGAATATTTTTGTTAACATTAAAAATAAAGAATTCTTACTGCTTAGAAAATCTTTAGTGAAGCAGGAAAGGCAGATTAATCAAGAACAGTCACAGATTGGGAACCTGCCAGCCTTTCTGCCTGCTGGTCATAACAGATTTTTAAGTGTAGTAGCATGCTACACTAAGTAATCCTAGGTTTGCATTTTATAGAACTTTCCTTTAGACCTGAAGTCTCCATATTGATTTCTTTCTGCGGGTTTCCCTTGAGATATCGTGCCAACCTCATCATCCTACACAGACACTCAATTCACTCGAGGACAATCAATAATCTATTCTGGTCCTGATCAAATCGCCTGATGGTTCTGTGATCGTGTGATCCTCCCACGCTAGAAGCAATCAAGTGGAGAATTATTGGGACATTGAAAGATTAGCCTCATCAGTTACCTGCTGTGATCATCAGCTTCCTGTATATTCATAAGGAGGAAAGAGCTTGCTGATTGTCATTTAAATTACATGAAGATATATTTGTCTTGTGCACCTCCAAGGCATTTAAAGGGGGTATAAGACCAAAACACATTAAAGAAGCCAAAGAGATGATTTGTCAAATATTTTCCAAGATGCAGAAGTATATAAAAATCACACTGTGGAGAAGAACATAAGTACATTTTGTGCTTAATCATTTTCAATTTGAAACACAATTTAATCCAGCCAATATTAATTGAGCACTAACTGTGGGCAAAGTTTGTAATAGGAAAATGATGAATAGCTAATCTTGTCCTCAAAAGCCCAAACTCACACTATAAATGGCACAGCCCAAGGCAGACTACCATGTGCAATACAAAAGGAGCCATACAACTTCCAACATTGAAAATATCACAATTGGTATGTTGGAAGAGGGAGAATTCCCAAAAAGGTTTCTGAAAGCATGAAAACCAAAGTGGCAGTTATGAAGGCATAGGGATGAGGATTGGTGATTTGAAGGTCTTCTCACCTTGTAACACACAGTTGTAATGCAGGGCCAGTTTATTGACGCTCTACTGTTCTGTCGGAGACTTCTTTTTGGCTAATGGAAGATGCTCAGTAAACATGCAGGCCAGGGTTATAGGGACCAGAGAAATGATGCCTCTGAGTACGATCTCAACATGACAAATGGGGACTTTGCTTCTCAGGTAGGATGACTCCAATGTGTGGAGATACCCAGTAAGACTTCAGGTGTCAAGAATGATTGGACCCAGTAAGACTGGGCATCAGGTGTCACGATGATTGGACCCAGTAAGACTGAGCTTCAGGTATCAAGATGAGTGGACCCAGTAAGACTGGGCTTCAGGTGTCAAGAATGTTTGGTGGTCACCGGCAAAGGCTACATTGACTTTCTTCTTCTTTCAGGCTTCTTATCTACTGAAAAGCATTTCCTGACATCACTTCTTAAATACCATGTTTGTGCTGATACTCAGCCTAAAACAATGAACTAAAACAATCACAAGGTTGCTTACTTAACAACCCAGGCAGTGTACTTAAAGATGGGAGGGGATGTAGGATGTAGTGGCTTAAAGGAGAAATGTTCCCCATTGATGAATGTTCCTGAACACTTGGTCTCCAGTTGACGGCATTGCTGAAGGAGGTCATGGAACTTTGAGGGAATGGAGCCTTGCTAGAGGAAGCATATCACTACAGGCTTTGTATTTTAAAAAAAAATATAAAGAAAAAATATTATAGAAAAAAATAGAACTTTTTTTCTAGTTCCCTGTCTCTTTAATTCCTGTGTAATGAAGATGTAATCTTTCAGATTTCCTGTTTTGGCTGCTTGCTGTCATGACTCCCCACTATTAATAGACTCACTCCCTGGAACTATGAACAACAACAACAAAAACCCTCTTTCTTCAATAGTTGCTTTTGGTCATCACATTTTATCACAGCAACACAATACAGAGTCAGCATCACCACAGTAACTAATACAGAAGTTGGTACCAGAGAGTGGACTGTCTCTGTAAAAAAAAAAAAAAAAAAAACCCTGACCATTTTGGAATTCGGAGAAATGTGGAAGAGTTTGAAATTTGATTGAATACTGTACGGAGAATAGAGAGAGACCTGGATCATTAGGTTTCGGGGGAAGCAAGGACTTATTGAGTAAAGAACCTGCTTTTCTGCCTTTTCCCAAGAACTTGCCTGAGGCTAAATTGCAAAAATAGTGGACTAATTTCTCTGGCAGAGGCGATTTCAATGCCACATAATGTTGAGTCTGTGGAAGGGTTGTTACTGATTGCCTTCTTGCAGGAGGTGCACAATGAAAACCAAAAGCGAAAGGGGCAGGAAGAAATTTAAAATATGTGGTTTAGAGAGAAAAAGAATAGTAGGAATGTTACTGTTAAGGAAAAGTCAAGTGTTAAAGATCTTTCAATTATTAATGAATTTAGCACCATTAAGGAATGGCCTTCTGTTTTTCCCTAAAACAATGGACAGGGTGCCATTAGGGTAAGATTTTATCCAGCTAAGCTTCCAATTTATGAAAGGAGAAAACCCAAAAGAAGCAATTGCTTGAACAAGAGCAAAACAAGAACATTAACAACAAGAACAAGAACAAGAAAAAACCCTAAAGGGTTGCTTGCTTTTAGGAAGCAATTTCTTTATATCTTTTTTATTGATTTTATTGAGCTATACATTTTTCTCTGCTTCCCTCCCATCTTCTCCCCTCCCCTTCAACCCTCTCTCATGGTCCCCATGCTCCCAATTTACTCAGAATATCTTGTCTTTTTCTACTTCTCATGTAGATTAGATCCATATATGTCTTTCTTAGGGTCCTCATTGTTGTCTGGGTTCTCTGGGATTGTGATTTTTCTTTGTTTTATGTCTAAAATATAATGCCACTTATGGGTGAGTACATATGATATTTGTCTTTCTGGTTCTGGGTTACCTCACTCAATATGATGTTTTCTAGATCCATCCATTTACATGCAAATTTCAAGATGTCATTTTTTTCTGCTGTGTAGTACTCCATTGTGTAAATGTACCACATTTTCCTTATCCATTCTTCAGTTGAGGGGATTTAGGTTGTTTCCAGGTTCTGGCTATGACAAATAATGCTGCTATGAACATAGTTGAGCACATGTCCTTGTGGCACTACTGAGCATCCTTTGGATATATACCCAAAAGTGGTATTGTTGGGTCTTGAAGAAGGTTGTTTCCTAATTTTCTGAGAAATCACCATACTGATATCCAAAATGTCTGTACCAGCTTGCACTCCCACCAGCAATGCAGAAGTGTTCTTTTTACCCCACATTCTCTCCAGCATAAGTTGTCATCAGTAGTTTTGATCTTGGCCATTCTGACAGGTGTAAAATGGAATCTCAGAGTTGTTTTGATTTGTATTTCTCTGATGGCTTAGGATGTTGAGCATTTCCTTATAAGTATCTTTCAGCCATTTTAGATTCCTCTGTTGAGAGTTCTCTGTTTAGGTCTGTACCCCATTTTTATTGGGTTATTTGTTCTTTTGATGATCAATTTCTCGAGTTCTTTGTATATTTTAAAGGTCAGCTTTCTGTCTGATGTGGGGTTGGCAAAGATCTTTTCCCATTTTGCAGTCTGACGTTTTGTCTTATTGTCTGTGTCCTTTGCTTTACAGAAACTTTTCAGTTTCAGGAGGTCCCATTTATTAATTGTCTCTCTCAGTGTCTGTGCTACTGGGGTTATATTTAGGAAGTGGTCTCCTGTACCAATACATTCAAGTGTGCTTCCCACTTTCTCTTCTATAAGGTTCAGTGTGGTTGGTTTTATGTTTAGGTCTTTGATCCATTTGGACTTGAATTTTGTGCATGGTGATAGATATGGATCTATTAGGAATCAATTTCTTGAAAAAAATAAAAATCTTATTGAAAATGTGTTTCTCAGCAGTAAAAAGTATAACATCTTGAAATTTGCAGGCAAGTGGACAGAACTAGAAAGAAAACATATTGAATGAGGTAAACCAGACTCAGAAAGACAAGTATAAAATGTACTCAAGCATAAGTGGTCATTTAGACATAAAGCAAAGGATAACCAGCCTACAATCCTCAACCCCAGAGAACCTAGACAACAAAGAGGACCCTAAGAGAGGCATACATAAATCTACCTAGGAAGGAGAAAAAAAAAAAGATCTCCTTAGAAATCTGGGAGTGTGGGGGGCAGGAGAGGAGGGTGGAAGGGGGAGTGGGAAAAATATATAGTTCAATAAAAATGATAAATAAAAATAAGCTAAAAAAACAAACAAAGAAAATGTGTCTCTAGCTGGCAGCTGGACTTAGCAGGGTCTTCAGCTTGGTACTAGCTCTGGGGTGATGAGAACATGAACAAGCAAGAGGCTCATAGAGTCTTCCCTTGCAGTTTTACAGAACCACTGAAGCCAGGCAATTTGTGTGGTGGGAGACCCTTGTGTGAGGCTGTGGAAATGAAGACTGGGTGACAGATGTTGGAGTTGCCAGAGCCTGGAGACATCTGCTGAGGAGAGCTTGATACAGGGCATGGATCCAGCCAATGAGAGAGAAGCGTGTTGCAGACAACAAAGCTGGAGGTTTAAGAACCCTTAAATCTAAAGCCCCAGACACCGACTGAATGTGAAGGTACAGAATTTGTTGTTTGCCCAGCTCAATTTTGGTTTTGTTTTGGTTCAGTATTTCCTCACTATTCCCCACTTCCCCCTTTAGGAATGGGGATGTGTATTTTGTTCCACTGTATGTTGCAAATACACAATTTCCTTTTCACTGTACAGGGGGTCACAGTAAAGAAACTGCCTTGCATCTCAGCAGGTATTTTGGGCAGAGAAGCAGTGCTGAGACTGTCTTAGACCATGGGGACTTCTTAAGTTGGGCTGAATACATTTTTCATTCTGATGTGGCCACGAGCCTATGGGGGTCTGGGAGAGAGATGTGATGGTTTGGATGAGAAACGCCCCCCATAAGTGCATGTGTCTAGACTCTTGGTCCCCTTGAGTGGTGTTGTTTGTGTTGCTTATGGAGCCTCGCTATAGGGCAGCGCATCATAGAGGGGAGGCACTGAGACTTCATGGTCTCACAGTATTTCCCACTTACTGTCTGTTGTGGCTGCCTGTGTGTTGAGAACATGATCCTTTCAGTTTCCGGCCGCTAAGCCTCCCTCCCACCAGGAACGCTCCCTCTGGAACCACAAACCCAAAGTAAACTTTTGCCCCACAACACACTTGGCTAGGATCTTTTATAACAGCAACAGAAAAGTAACCAACACTGGATGTGTAGGACAAATAGCAGGAACAGACACAGGTTTTGGCCTTTTGCTCAAGGTCAGAAATCACACAAAACACTACATTTAAAATTCTACGTATCAGAAAAATTTTCTGCAATTTGTGCCGCTGGAAGCCAAAGGCACTGGGGTGAGCTAAGTTATAGACAATCCCAAGTCTATTGGATGACTAGTCTAGTCTCTCTCTGAGATGCAGGGAGCACTTTAAGATGCAATGTTATACTGTTCTCCAGTGGTTTTGAGATATAACAAATGGAGAGTTCTTCCTCCCTGGAGGAGTGGTTCTGAGACCACAGAAGTAAAAGGCAAGGATGTGTCTGTGGCTTGGTGACGGAGAAGAGGAAAATTAAGATGCTGCAATCAAAGTCTCAATCAAAGATTGAGAGATTCTGAGGAATTAAACTTGGCCTCTGAGTGGTAAGGTACTATTCGTTGTGACTCCACATACCATACTACAGCTTCCACAGCTGCTGTTTCTCCTTCTCCTCCTCTTGCTGTAGGAAATCCTATAGCCAGTAGTTATCCACCCACTGGGGCTTGGCCTCTTATACTATTTATGCCCATGTAAAGCGTGTGGCCGGCCTCTTTTCCGGCTGCGGATTCAGTTTCTGTGTTCCAGCACCTCTGCTGGATTCTG